AAAATTTAGAGGGGGGGGTGGGCCTTAAAAAAGAAAGATAAACTCAAATCTGTTCCATATAACTCTGACAACGTTTTAGAAATATACTTTTTTACATAATAAACCAGGGTAGATTCTTTCATGACCTTAAACATATCTTCAGCCTTTATAAAATAATATCTGTAGATAATATGAAGACTCACTCGGTATTTTCTAAAGAATAATTCTTGCTGGGGTTGGGGAGATAGCGGAAAGAAGGGTAAGATCCAACGAAAAAACACGATCATAGCACATTAGATGATATTTGTCTATTTCTAACTAGCCATTTCAGTTTAATGTACGATTTATCTATATTTTCTAAACATTTTTCAACAGTGTGTTTTAGGGACAGTTTACTTGTCCATATAAAACCTAGATATTTAAATTCAGAGACCAGTTTCAGTTTACCACTGGAAATATACACATCAATATACGCTTTTTTTACTTGTGAATCAAATAACTGTTCAATTGTTTTCGAGAGGTTAAGGGATTGTTTCTATTGAATGGAGTACTCGTATGTTCTCTCGCATACCTTAAAGCCCTCGTCACTCAACTAATCCAACATTTTCTGTAGTTTAACATACACTGGAGGAGTTATCAAAACTGCTAGATCGTCCGCGAAAATATGAGCTGTATTCGCCCCTACTTTGATTACTAAATCTGAATGAAAAATTATAAATAAGTATGGACTTAAAGAACCACCCTGCGGTAGACCTATTTTTAACGCAAACAAATTTGTTTTAAATTTACCAAAAACCGCATAAGCTTTGCTCTCTTCTAGTCAGTATAACACTAATCTAGTAAATTTAAAGGAATACCAAGGCGGACAAGTTTTACTATTAAACCAACATGCTAGACCATATCATAAGCCTTTTTATAATCAAAATATATAGTTAGTATAGGGATATCACCCGCTAGGTTATTTTGGATTTTTTGATGCATAGATAGATCACGGGTTTGCAGTAAACAATTTTGCCTGAACCCAGACTGTTCCAAAGGGATAATATGATTTGAGTCTGCCCAAATTTTACCCTTTGTAACATTATTTTCTCATAAAATTTTGAATGAGTTGCTACGAGGGAAATAGGTCTTGTCTGCTCACACGATGGAACTCCTGACTTCAGTTTTATGTAATAGCATCTTTTTCACAAACAACTTGTCGATTCCCATTTATATTTTCAACGGAGTTGCAAAAGAAAAGAATAGAATTACACAAGTTTAGGAAAGCGTTATTATAGGCATAATCTGTTGTTCAACTATTGCTTCGACTTGTGGAATTACTTCATCGTCTGATATAACTTCAATAGCAGATCTGTTCGTCAAGTTAGTGGCATCTGCACCAGTAGCTCCTGTTGTAGATTCATTTTGAAGTTTCATTCTTCCAATGGTTTCTTTATTCTTTTTAATCTCATTGTTGGCTTTGTTCAAAAATTCACTTGAGAAAACAGCATCGTTATTTTCCTTCCTCAAGTCCATTATTTTTCCCAAAACTTCTTCGGCCATTTTTTGTCGTTCCGTTTCCACATTCAATTTCAGATTATCAACAGCTAAATAACGTTGTCCGCACGCCTTAAGAAAATCTTTTAATTCTTCATTTGCTTTCTCAAGCCATTGATCCAAGGTTCTCTTTCCTAAAGTGTCTTTTCCTGTAAATGTCAAGCAATTGTGTTAGTTAATAAATAGAGAAGTACAAAAGAACGCTTCTCTGGTAGCTTACCCGTAAAAACAACAATACAGTGCTTCAATATATCTTGTCCAAATATTTTACTGGCTTGTGCGACCGATTCTCGCTCTTCTTTTGTAAATTTACCAAGTTTTACCACAATAAGAAATGCATGTGGACCGGGAAACGATGCTTGTATAGATTTCGTTATCTCTTTCACAAGTCTTTTCCGTTCTTTTGGAGTTCGAGCTTTTGTATCGAAGAAACCAGGCGTATCCACTACTACGACAGTTTTTCCTTGAAAAGTAGTTCGACCAATAGCACATTTTTCAGTAACAGAATCCGATAAATTGTCTGCTTCAAATTGTTCTTCTTCACGTGTGAATGCACATAATAAGTTACCCAATGAACTTTTACCTTTGATATGAAAAAAAACTCAAAATTAGAGGGTTATATCTACAGGCTTACGAGATTTTGAGTTACCTACCACTTCCGGTTTTGCCCAGCAATACAAGGCGAATTTCTTTATCATCAGGAAGAAGTGTAGTAACAGAGCGAAGTGACGATGTATCTCGTCCTGTACGTGGCAGCGATCGCTCTGGTGGAGCTAGCGGTGTCAATTGTTGACGATCAATTAATTCTCGATGTAGATAGTCAGATATGTTGACGAGGCTACTATGTCGTGAATCCGTTTTCTTCTCCCCTTGTCGTCTTTCTTTTTGATTGCGTGGTATAAACGGAGATATAAAATGCCTTGAAGAAGCCATCTAAAATTCAACAAAGAGTCAGAAGATATTTTCTACAATGACAGAGCGATTAATTTATTAATATAAAAAACTTCTTCTGATTATCATCTCTCTAATTTCAATTTCTCTTAAACAAGACTTTATTTCTTTTATTTTTTTCGATGCCAATAAAACAGAACACCTACTTTATCTGTTTTTCTCTATGTAGCCGTTCCACTACACTCATATCTTTAGTAAATATCGTTTTTTCTTTACACCTTTATCCTTTCAATAACAGAGCGAAAAAAGTATTTCATCATTCTCGATAAAGATATCGGGAATTCACAGAGCAATTATATTTTATTAAGTGCTATTTGAGTACTCTTATTACTCTTTTATTGAAAGAATAAGGGTGTAAAGAAAAAACGAAATTCAACTAATGATATGAGTATAGTGAAACGGCCACAAGCGCTACTGAGAGAAACAAAAGTGGTAAATAAAGAGTTTTATTCGGTTGTACGAGCTTTGAAAGATTTAAAGTACAGTAGGCGCCAAATGAATTTCCCCCCTACGTATTTTTCAGAGAAAAATGAC